ACAGCGGGTGGCGGGAATGCTCAGGGAACGCATGGTGCGTGGCAGGGCACACAGTTCAGCACTGTGGACAGCGGGTGGCGGGAATGCTCAGGGAATGCATTGTGCGTGGCAGGGCACACAGTTCAGCAATGTGGACAACAGGTGACGGGAATGCTCAGGGCATGCATTGCACGGGGCAGGGCACACAGTTCAGCACTGGCCCCCCAAGCACACACACCATGAGAGTAAAGAAGGGTTCCAACCTTGTCTGTTTGTGGAGGACAGTTCAGCTGTGGAAGGACTAAGCATGTCCCTGGGGTGAGTGTGAGAGTCTTACCCAAGGAGGCTGTGATTGCAAAGTTCTCCAGCATCACATCTTGGAAAAGGGTCCGCTGAGTCTCATCCAGGAGCCCCCACTCCTCCTGGGAGAAGTGAATGGCCACGTCCTCAAAGATCACACTACCCTGGTAGGATGAAGAGTCCACATCAAGATTAACTTCTCCTGGGACCCCAAGTTCTTCCCTATATCTTCTACTCCTCCCTGAATCCCCAAATCAGAGGAGACATGGTCCCACCTACCACCTGGTCAGGCCACATCAACAGCAGCTGGGTGGGCACAGAGAGAAGATCTAAGCTCTGGGTTTGGCATGCAAGGCTGCAACCCTTCTTGATTCTCCTGGGGTTCCCCAGATCATATCTCCCAGACATAACCATATGCAAACTCACCTTCCACCCATCGATCCACAAACAGGACTCTGGTGCCATCTGTTCACACCGTTCTCCCACTCTGCAGTCCCACAACATGCTACCCTCCTCGCCCCAAACCACATTCTTGTCTAGCCTTCCCATATTATTTGGTGCATGGCATCAAGAGTGCTTGGCAAATCCAAACAGGATCCAGTTCTCCTCTAGAAATTCATTGGACTCCACTGCCAGGGTTAGTCCCAAACCCATGGTCAAATGTCCAGACCCATCATAGTCAGGATAATCTCTGTCCTCATGAAGGTGCCTTGTTGGCTCTGTGTCTTAGTGCTCTAGTGTTTCTATTACAGAAACTACTACAGATGAGTGACTGTCACAAACAGAAATGTCTCACAATTTAGAGGCTAGAAGACCACTGATTTCAGGGGAAAGCTTTCTCTGTGGGCTTTGGAGGAAAGTCATTGTCTCTTCAGCTTCAGGGTAGGGGGATGGTGTCTTTGGAATCTCAGTATGTCTGGACATCTAGTTTACGCTAATCCTGTCTCATTAACATAACAAAGACAACACACTCCCAAACAGGGTTGTAATCATAGGCACAGAGGCTAGGATTTACAAAACAGATTCTGGGGAGGCATAATTCAAACCACAACATTCCACCTTTTGTTGTTGTTGCTAGGTATCATTGAGTTGGTTCTGACTCTAGCAACCCTATGAACAACAAAACCAATATTACAAATAAAATCCTTGAGAGAGGATCATGCAAGACGGGTCCTTCCTGATATGTCCAAGGAGCATTTTGGCTGTACTTCTTCCAGACAGATTTTCTGTTGTTTCTTTTGGCAGTTCATGGCACTTACAGTATTCTGTTCCAAAATCTAATTCAAATGCATCAATTCTTCCATGGTCCTCCTTATTGTCCAATGTTCATATGCAAATGAGATGACTGAACATACCATGGCTTTGGTCAGGTGCATCTTAATCCTCAAGCTGATATCTGTGCTCCTTAAAACTTTAAAGAAGTCTTTTGCAGCAAATTTGCCTAATGCAATGCATTGTTTGATTTCTAGACAAAAGCACTGACTATAGATCCAAGCAAAATGAAATCTCTGACAACTTTAATCTCTTCTCCATGTCTCATGATATTATTCACTGATCTTGTTGTGAGAATTTCAGTTTTCTTCACATTGAAATTCAAACCTTACTGAAGGGCTGGAGTCTATTTCAAGTCTTCTTCACTTTCAGCAAGCAAGGTTGTGTTAAATCTCTCCCTAATCCTGAAGCCACATTCTTCTTCATGTAATCTAGCTTCTCAGGTATTTGCTCAGCATACAGACTGGCTAAATATGGTGAAAGGATACAAGCCTGGCACACAGTTTCCCTGATCTTAAACCATTCAGTATCATTCAGTTATGTTTGAATGACTCCCTCTTGGTCTATATACAGTTCCTCAAGAGCACAATTAAGTGTTATGGAATACTCACCTTTCATAACGTTATCCATAGTTCATTATGATCCACACAGTCAAATGGCTTTGCATATTAATAAAGCATAAATAAGCTTCTTTCTGGTATTCTCTGCTTTGGGCCAAGATCCATCTAACATTAGCAATGATATCTCTCAATCCATGTCCTCTTCTGAATCGAGCTTGAATTTCTGACAGATCCCTGTTAAGGTACTACCACATCCTATTTTGAATTATCCTTGGCAATATTTTGCTCGCATGCAATTTCATTCATGTTGTTCATGATTTCTGCATTCCATTGGGTCACCTATCTTTACAATAGGTTCACATATTGTAGACTCAAAGATCTCTTACAGTTGGTTGGCCAGATAGCTGTCTTCCAAATTTCCTGGCATAGATGAGTGAATGTCTCCAGTGCTGCGTCAGTTTGTTGAAACATTTCGATTGGTATTCCATCAATTCTTGGAGTATTGTTTTTCATTAATGCCTTCAATAAAGCTTGGACTTCTTCCTTCAATATCATTGGTTTTTGATCCTATGCTACTTTTTGAAATGGTTGAACATTGATCATTTCTTTTGATACAGTGACTCTGGTATTCCTTCCATCTTCCTGTGATGTGTCCTACATCATTTAATATTTTGCCCACAGAATAACCCTTCAATATTGCAACCCAAGACTTGGATTTTTATTTCCGTTCTTTCAGCTTGAGAAATGCTGAGTGTGTTCTTCCCTTTTGGTTTTCGAACTCCAGGTGTTTGCACATTTCTGCTCTTTGATATTTTCTATCCAGCTCTTTTACTTCATCATGTCTTCTAGTCACCTTAGTTTCTCTAGGTTCTACCCCTTGGCACCCCAAAATCCATGTCCTGGCCACATGCAAAATACATTCACTCCATCACATCATACCAAGTCTTTCAAATCTTGTCTTCTGAATTATTAAAATCAATTACAGGTGATACTTGAGGTTCATCTGTGAGCCTGTGAAATCTAGACTATAAATTATCTGCTTCAAGAGTACAGCAGTAGAAGAGACACAAGGTAGACACTTCCGTTATCAAGGAGAAGAATTGGAAGAAAAGAAGGGATACTAGGCATCAAGCAAGTCAAAACCCAGGAGAACAAATTGCATTTGCTTTTAAGGACTGAAAATAGTCCTCTCTTCTCTGATAGCGTCTGGGCTATGGCGTTGCTCTCCAGACTCTGGGTGTTGCCTATACTCTCTGGATTCTGGGTGGAGGCCTCTAGGTCCTGGACTTCAGCTCCATCTTCCATGCCTTCCAGGAGGACAACTCTGCTCCCTCGGAATTACTTGGCTCCATTCTCTTAATCCATCTGAGTGTCAACACCAACCTCTCAGCCCTGGCAGGCTCCATTTTGCTGCTCCTTGGGCATGGCAGTCCTATGCCCTCAGCTTTGGGCAGTGGCTCCATCCTCTTGGTACACCTTAACAGCAGCTCCCCACCCCAGAATGAGAGGTGCAGGTGTCAAATTGACAAAGGGTGGATTGTGATAGTTTATGTTTTGTGTCATTGTGGCTATGCTAGGATTCTCAGTGTTTTGGCAGTGGACTGATTGTTTTTCCATAATGTAATATAATCACTCACCATTTTGTGATCTGACGTGAGTAGTTGAATAGCAATCTGTTTCCTTGGGGGTGTGAATTGTGTCCAATATATACGGATGCTCTAGCAAAGCTTGCTCTCTCTCTCTCTCTCTCTCTCTTGCTCTCAATCCTGCATCCCACTTGTCATCCTCTGACCTTGGTTCTTGGGACACAAGCCAGCAACTTGACAGTTTTGGGTTTGTCAGCTCCTGCAACCAGGTGAGTACAAAGAAACCTTAAGCCTCACTCTTGGTCCACAAATTTGTGACTTGCCAGTCTCCAAAACGGCATGAGTCATTTCCTTGAAATAATTCTCTCTCTATAGGGACTTCTGGTATGGCACTGCAGGATCAGCCCTGGACTGCACACCACAAGGTAAGCAGTTCAAATTCACCAGCTGCTCCTTGGAAACCCTATATAGGGTTGCTATGAGCTGGAATCGTCGATGGCACTTAACAACAACAAAACAACATATATATTTATACATACACATGCGTCACTGGTTTTGGTTTTGTTCCACTAGATGACCGGCCCTCAGATACCCTGTTCCTGGCTTCAGCCTCAGCTTCCCAGAACCACTTGCAGTTATCAGATGCCCTTTTCCTCTTTGCTGCCCTCCCTGACACTTCACCAGTCACGACTTTCTTCTCTTCACACAACCTTCCTTCAAAGTCAGGCCCTTGTAATCTCCCGTCTCTGTCCGACTGATTCTCACAGATGATTACCTTTGCCTGAAACAACCCAGACCACACCTAGGGCCACCAGAGAATCCTTGTGAGCCACAAGAGTGTTAGCTAAGTCCTCTCCTGTCTCTACATCCAGCTTATGTTCACTTATCTCCTGAAAGCCTTATTATCCTCTCCCCTATACCCTTCCCATGGTCCTCTTCACCTGTGTGTGTGACACAAAACACCCACACACATGCCCAAGCAGGAGACTCTATCCTCAGTCCCCACCCTGACCACCATGGGCTGGGTTTCCCCTTCTAACTGTGATGCACAGTTCTACCCCGGCCCATCCTCTCGCTACCACCTTTTGTATACCTCCATTCTGAACACCTCGCCAGAACTCTAGATCTGTCTGCCCTGCTGCCCACTTGCTGGCTCCACTCATGATCCGCTAAAACAACACAGCAAACTGAAGTCATCTTGACTCTTATTTTTCCCTCTGCACACTCAAAATCAGAAAGTCCAGACAGCCCTACTTAAAAAAAACAAAAACAGAATCCAACTATTTCTCCAACCTCAACACTGATCAACTTCCGGGAAACTACCGGAGAAGCCTTCTCCCGGGTCTTCCTGTCTGCTCTCTCATTTCACAATGTGTTCCCCACTCTACAGCCAAAGGGAGGATGTTATGATTATCACCTCCTGTTTTCATCAAAACCTCCCTATGCTTCATAAACTGCAGACTAGGCATCCACCTTCTTTGGACGGCCATTTCAGTCTGTTCCTACCAGAAAGATCCCTGAACACTCCCAGCCTGGCCTAACCTCCTAGCATTTGGACAATCTCTCACACCTCATTTCACTGGGGTCAGGATCAGCGAGGCGCAACTGGGTAAAGCCCGGCACGAACGCTTCTGCAGACACGGGAAAAGGAGCTGCGAGAGCCAGGTGACCAAGCTGGGGTCCCGGCCAGGTAAGGCTGGGCTGAGTGGACTTCAGAGATCAGCGCTGCTTCCAACCAGCTCTGTGATGCTGGACACAGATTGAACTCCCAACTCCATTTGGGTCTTCTTCTTGCTCCTGGAAAAATGTTAAAACACTAACTGAGATTGTGTGTCTCTCTTCTATTCACAACCCTCCGTGGATCCCAGCGTCCAGAGCAGAAGGGTCCAGCTTCTCGGCCTGCCACCCAGGCTGGATTACTCAGACCATTAACACTGCAGACACGAAGACAGCACATTTCCTGAACGCTCCTCCGGGTCTTCGCACACGCGGCTCTCTCAGCCCGCAGCCCCGCTCTACACCCGGCATCGGAGAGGGCACTGGCCGGGGGCTGGGCTGCAGCAGCCTGACCAAATGCCTCTCAGCC